TAGGTTACAAAAAAGGTCTGTTTAGCCACGTTCGCATAATACGTTTATGTGCTTTTGCGTTTAGAAGCAGTTTTTAAAGATAAGCACAAGAGAACCGCCTAAATGCCCAGAATGCACTGAAAAATAGTAAATTATTAACCATTTCAGACTGTTGCAGAGAAACACAGAGAGTAGAAGCAGAGACAGCAGTATGTGTTGACATTAACTTAGGTGTGAGTTGCTCATTAACATTTCTTTTGTTTCCAAGGGTGGGAAAGGTGTCTGGTGGAGAGAGTCATTAAGGCCACCTGGCAGGGGGTCTTCCTGAGGAATTTGAGGTGTGAATTGCTCATTAACATTTCTTTTGTTTCCAAGGGTGGGAAAGGTGTCTGGTTGAATGAGTCATTAAAGCCACCTGGCAGGGAGTCTTCCTGAGGAATTTGAGGTGTGAATGGTCATTAACATTTCTTTTGTTTCTAAGGGTGAGAGAGGTCTGAGGTGTGAATTGGTCATTACAATGTGTGACAAGCTTGGTAGAAACATCCTGTGTTCAGTGTTTTGTCCATCTTGAGTACCTTGAAAACACTTTGCATGCATTTTTCATACTGAAAAAAGTCTCTGGACAGCATCAGGAACTGGAAGAGTTAAAAAAAAATTTCAGTCGCAAACACTTATAAACGCGATTTGCTACGCGTAGTCGCGTTTACAAGCGGTTCGCGTTTGAAATGCTGATAAAATCGACTGCTGAACGCAAGTTGTCTGCGTTCAAAAAAAACGACTGTAAACTCAAATGCCTGTAAACGACTGTAAACGACAATGTGTACATGGACACATAGGAAAACATTAGGGTGAGTTCAGGGGCTGCTGAAAAAAACGCAGAATAGCTCCTAAAGGTGAGTTTATCAGCTGTGTACATGAGCCATAAGGGACAGGAAGTGAAGCGAAATCTCCCAAATAGTATACAGATGGCAAGAAAGCACTTTTCTTAATCTATAGTTCCTATAAAAAATCTGCATGGGCAGAGAACTATCATTTACATTTATGACTTTTATAAGATGCTGATTACAATTTGACTTCAGCCTGAGAGGGAGAGCAACTTGTATGTTACGTCCCCCCTTCCCTGATGGGCTGTGGTGTTAATTCTGTAATCCTGTACTTGTGACCGACCCTGTGTCTTCTGGCAATATTAAGAATTGCTCCCTACACCCTGTTTTCAATTGTGTTTTTGGTATGAGGAATGTTATGTAATGAAATTGGATCTTTGTAGACTTAAGATGCAATTCACAGCCCTGCCCTTTCACCAGATTGAAGCATACTGTTTCCCTATTTTGTCATCTGCTGATTTAACTCAATATAGCAGTGCATTTAAATCCTATCAGTCCTCACACAGTACTTATGCGTGATTATAAGTCCTTTGACGTCATGGTATTGAAAATTGTTAGAACCATGTATCCATTGTTTGAAAGGTATACGTTATACCATAGAAGCATACTGTTTGTTGTTCACCCTTGAAGAGGACACAACAGTGTAACTATTGTGTTGTGTGCCCTATGTTGACCTAGTGATTTTGCACCCATCATCTGATGTACTCCCACTCAGTACAAAGACTATAGATTTGAGGGAGTGGGCTTGGCAAGCACAACATGAGTGGAAAGAGGCTGTAGTCCCAGACAAATTCTAAAAATTTGTTTTTTTTTTTCAGTTGTGGTAATTGTTCTTATAATACTTAGATTTTTGGTTTACTGGTAATGGTTTCTGGGTAATATTTTACTTTTTGCTTGGAGCAGATCTTTAAAGTGGACCTATGCATTGCTGATGTAGGGCAGAAAAACAGGCGATCTTTAAAGTGATACTAAAGGCTTATTAAAATAACAAACATGTTATACTTACCTGCTGTGTGCAGTGGTTTTGCACAGAGTAGCCCCCGATCCTTCTCTTCTTGGGTCCCCCCGCCCACACAGAAGCTTTCTATGGGGGCACCCGCTGCTCCGTGTATCCATTCACACACGGAGCCGTGGCTCGGCTCCGCCACCTCTCTCTTCTCATTGGCTCACTTGTTGTGGTTGACAGCAGTGGCAGTCAATGTCTTCCATTTCTGTCTCAGCCAATGAGGTTTTGCACAGAGTAGCCCCGATCCTTCTCTTCTCGGGTCCCCCGCCCACGCAGAAGCTTTCTATGGGGGCACCCGCTGCTCCGTGTGTCCATTCACACACGGAGCCGTGGCTCAGCTCTGCCACCTCTCTCTTCTCATTGGCTCACTTGCTGTGATTGACAGCAGTGGGAGCCAATGGCTTCCATTTCTGTCTCAGTCAATGAGGAGAGGGAGTCCCGGGATAGCCGAGACTCCTTTGCACATCGCTGGATCGAGAGGGGGCTTAGGTGAGTATTAGGGGGGCTGGGGGGAATGCTGAATAAAGAAGGTTTTTTACTTTCATGCATAGAACGCATGAAGGTACAAAACCTTGAGCCTTTAGAACTACTTTACTGTCCCACTTCCCAGCAGCACACACCCCTTTTTTTTTGTTACCCTGCTGCTCTGTTTAGCCACTGGAAAAGGATGCCTAGCATAAGCTCCAAGTCACTCTAGTCTGAGTTTTTGGTGTCTGTCTGTCCATCCTCAACCCTGGGCCACCCACAAAACACCAACTCTGTCACATGAGAGGCAGAGAAGTAAGTCACATGTTCCTCCATACCCAGATGTATGGAGGAAAATAAAGGACAAGAGCTGGGGAGGAGGGCATTACAGTGAACCCATTGTATTGTCCTCAAAGGGCAAAGTTCACATTTGCCTTTAAAGTCATGTGCCTATCAGCAAACCTCAGGGTTATTTCTGAGATTTTGATGCCTTAGGTTTGACATCTACTGCTCACTATGTTGCTACACAATTACATTATCACCTCCATTAATATCTTTTAGTGCAGTATTTTTAAAGGCCATCAGGAAGGAGTGAGATAGTCATCTATGGTCCAACAGCTTCCAGTCTGCCATCTGTACTACACTAATTCCCTGAAAGTCTGACATTCCTACTAACCTACCTATGAAAATGATAATATTATTATTTATCTATTTCAGGTACTTATATAGCGCCATCAATTTACACAGCGCTTTATATATATTTAGTACATTCACATCAATCCCTAACCCTCAAGGAGTGTACAATCTAAGGTCCCGAACTCACATTCATACATACACATACTAGGGCCAATTTGGACAGAAACCAAATTAATCTACCGGCATGTCTTTGGAGTGTGGGAGGAAGAACCTGGAGGAAACCCACGCAGGCACAGTGAGAACGTGCAAACTCCAGGCAGGTGGTGCCATGGTTGGGATTTGAACCAACGACCCTAGTACTGCCCAGCGGAAGCTCTAACCATTTAGCCACTGTGCTGCCCATAATATTACTGTTTTAGGCCTTTTTTTCCTAAATGCTGGAGTTTTGAATTTGCTACTTGCATTTGGTATACAGAAATCAAGAAAAGCAAGCACGTTCATTCCATCTTTATTTAGCCATCAACTCATTTTTCAAAGACTAACTCTATCCAAGGTTTATTTGTCAGTTTATGAGGGTATGGACAAGTGAAATTACATACTGTCTTGTTATACTGTATATCTAGGAGACCTCGTTGGTAAGATCCCCTACAGAAATCCCCGTTCTGCCTGTCATAAATAAAATAAAGTCAGCAAATAGAAGCATACTCCATAACTAGCATCCATCATGTTTGACATATCAAAACAATTCCATGTATGTAGCTGAAAATTTTGGACAGCTGGCAGTTATTGCGCCATAAGCTAGATCATAAACACTTGCACAGTTATGTGTGAAAGCAAATAATACATTCTGTCCAAGCATCACTTACATTTCAAAGATGTGCCTTTGTAATGTATGTATATATTTATATACACTTTTTCACCTAATGAATTAGATGCCAAGTTACAGGAAAAGTCTGTATTTTTTTTAAAACAAATACAAGGTGTTTTCTGATTGGACAAGGTGGAGAGGAGCAGCAGGTGTCATCACATTTTCTGAATGGCCCCATGTTCAGTGAGCAGAGGGGATCACAGCTATCTTGTATCATGGACTACTACACTGATTTTCAGCATCTCCAGTGGCTCTCTGGATATTAGATATGGATACTTACCTCAAGTTAAGTTGAACTAATGTAAGTTTGCAAAAAAGATAATTCATAGATTTCTGCTTTATTTCCCGATACACCTCCTTTTTTTAATAGATACTACAAAGTACTTAAAAATTTTAACCCAAAAAAGCAGCTATATCCTGATTTTCCTGGCATATTATTTGTCTCTGTGTGGGTGTTCTCAATAATTTCCCTTGCTTTCTTTATGAAAGTAGTGGTCTGAAATGCCCCCTGCTGAGTCAGAACCACAGCTCTCCATTCAGGAATGATGATGAGCCTTGCTCATTGCACAGCTCTAGGTCTGACTCAGAAGGGGATGTGTTGGACCCCTGCAGAGAGAATACTGCTCTCCTAAAGAGAGCAAGAGTGCTTCTCTGCAGTATGCTGGCAGGGGACAGGCTTTTCTACTCAGGCTGTGGCTGCTTTAGAAAGAAAACAAACTGTAAGGCTTTGCATACCATTTGTTTTGATGCGCCAAGAGGGTTTTTAGCTGATTTAAACTAGAAGTTCTCCTAACTCCCTGTGTTAAGTAGACCACCCAGAGCCTTCAGATCCCTGAAATCCCAAGCATTGTTGTCAGCCTTGTCTTGTCTTCCTAATGGATTACAGAACACCATCACCTCTACTCATCTCCATAACATAAGGGGATGTGTTCTCTAGTCCAGCAGAGAAGAACTCAGGATGGACTGAAATCAATGCTTTGGATTTCAGTTTTACAGGACAGCATTGTCAGTTCACTACAGTCAGTTTGGGGTTACTGTCACACTTTTACTTGCTTGCTCTTCCATATTTTGATTATTGTTTTTCATAGACAGATACAGTATATTGCCAAAAGTATTGGGACACCCCTCCAAATCAATGGATTCAGGTGTTCCAATCACCTCCATGGCCACAGGTGTTTAAAATCAAGCACCTAGGCATGCAGACTGCTTCTACAAACGTGTGAAAGAATGGGTCGCTCCCAGGAGCTCAGTGAACTCAAGCATTGTACCGTGATAGGTTGCCACCTGTGCAATAAGTCCATCCGTGACATTTCCTTGCTACTAAATATTCCACGGTCAACTATTAGTGGTATTAAAAAGAGCAGAGATATACCGCGCAGGCAAACAATCCAGATCAATCCACAACAGGTGCAGGCTCTGGCTCGCCACCACACACGATGCATACTATGATTAAGCATGAGATCGTGTGAAATGCGTCAACAGGTCCTGTATTCATGTCCTGGTGTTTTATGTGTCCTATGGATCAATAAATACACACTATATTCATCTATCCTCCGGTGTGCTGCTGACCCTTCTTCCTATTGCATAGTGGTATTACAACAAATTGTAAGCAACTGGGAACAACAGCAACTCAGCCATGAAGTGGTAGGCCACGTAAAATGACAGAGGGGGGTCAGCGCATGCTGAAGTGCACAGAAGTCACCAACTGTCTGCAGAGTCAATAGCTAAAGACCTCAAAACTTCATGTGGCCTTAGAGATTAGCACAACAACAGTTCATAGAGAGCTTCATAGAATGGGCTCCATGGCCGAGCAGCTGCATCCATGCCTTACATCACCAAGTGCAATGCAAAGAGCCAGACACAGTGGTGTAAAGCACGTCACCTCTGGACTCTAGAGCAGTGGAGATGTGTTCTCTGGAGTGACCAATCACACTTCAAGTAAGCAGGCATCCCAATATTTTTGGCAATATGTGTGACCTCTAGTGGTGATCTGTGTTCAGAGAAATATGCATGTTGAAAGGATATGTGCAACCTGACAGATTTTACGCCCCCATCCTCTCAAACAACAACTTTCTCAATATACACTGCTCAAAAAAATTAAAGGAACACCTTGAAAACACATGAGATCTCAATGGGGGAAAATATCATGCTGGATATTTATACTGATAGGGACTGGGTAATGTGTTAGGAACGTAACGACACCCTATCGTTTGATGGTAATGAAAATTATCAACCTACAGAGGACTGAATTCAATGACACCCCAAAAATCAAAGTGAAAAAATGATGCAGCAGGCTAGTCCATTTTGCTGAAATTTAATTGCAGCAACTCAGAATGGTACTCAGTAGTTTGTATGGCCCCCACGTGCATGTATGTATGCCTGACAACATCGGGGCATGCTCCTAATGAGACAATGGATGGTGTCCTGGGGTATTTTCTCCCAGATCTGGACCAGGGCATCACTGAGCAACCTGGCAGTGTCGGTTGGACCAAAACATGATATCCCAGAGGTGTTCTATTGGATTTAGTTCAGGCGAGCGTGGAGACCAATCAATGGTATCAATTCCTTCAACCTCCAGGACGCCACATGAGACCAGGCATTGTCCTGCACCAGGAGGAACCCAGAACCCACTGCACCAGTGTAGGGTCTGACAATGGGTCCAAGGATTTCATCCCGATACGTAATGGCAGTCAGCGTGCCATTGTCTGGCCTGTAGAGGTCTGTGCATCCCACCATGGATTTGTCTCTCCAGACCATCACTGACCCACCACCAAAACAGTCATGCTGAATGATGTTACAGGCAGCATAACATTCTCCACGGCTTCTTCAGACCCTTTCACGTCTGTCACATGTGCTCAATGGCAAATGCCAAATGAGCTCTATGGTGCCGGGCAGTGAGCACAGGACCCACTAGAGGATGTCCAGCCCTCAGGCCACCCTCATGAAGTCTGCTTCTGATTGTTTGGTCAGAGACATTCACACCAGTGGCCTGCTGGAGGTCATTTTGTGGGGCTCTGGCAATGCGCCTCTTGTTCCTCCTTGCACAAAGGAGCAGATACCGGTCCTGCTGATGGGTTAAGGACCTTCTACAGCCCTGTCAAGCTCTCCTAGAGTAAATGTCTGTCTCCTGGAATCTCCTCCATGCTCTTGAGACTGTGCTGGGAGACACAGCAAACCTTTTGCCAACAGCACGTATTGATGTACCATCCTGGAGGTGTTGGACTGCCTGCGCAACCTCTGTAGGATCCAGGTATCGCCTCATGCTACTAGTAGTGACACTGACCCTTGCCAAATGCAAAACTAGCTAAAAACAGTCAGAAAAGATGAGTAAGGAATAAATTTCAATGGTCTCCACCTGTAAAACCATTCCTGTTTTGGAGGTCGTCTCATTGTTGCCCGTCTAGTGCACCTGTTGTTAATTTCATTAACACCGAAGCAGCTGAAACTGATTAACAACCCCCTCTGCTACTTAACTGACCAGATCAATATCCCAGGAGTTTAACTGACTTGATGCTATACTCTGACTAAAAAGTGTTCCTTTAATTTTTTTGAGCAGTGTAATTCAACACCCGAAAGGAAACCTGACATAAGAAACACACATAGACTGCTACTGCTGACATTCACTTTCTGGGTCTTTAACCTGAAACAAGTATGCAGAGAAGAAAGCCAGACTTAAGTCTCTCCTGATATGCATATATGTTTCAGGTCAGTGACCCCCGAAAGCCTTAAAAGCCATTGGATTGCTATTGGAGCCACTGGATTAACAATGGCTGCTGGTAAAATGTTTAAATTTCATTTTTAAAGAGAAGTCAGCAGTGGCATCCTCCAGTCTCTCAAAACAGGTCTGATTTAGGCTAGGTTCACATCTGTGCGGATGGTACCACTGCAGATCTGCACAAAAATCCATGCATCCACACCACCCGCACAGAGGAATACAGACCCGCAGACGGGTGCCATTAATTCTAATGGCATTCTGCCCACACTGGAAAATGCAACCGTACTTGGAACCGAGGTTCCCGTGTGGGCTGCGTTTTCAGAAGTGCAGGGACTTCTTCTCTGCTTATCACGGGGCATGGTAGTCCATTCAAATGAATGGGCTCTCGTGCCCATGCAAAATGCGGCCCGCATGGCCGCATATATGTGAACCAGGGCTTAGAGTCTACCTATTGCAGATCTTATTTTGAAGTCAGCTGCCTGGCTGTTATGCTGAACCGCTGTCTGTATTACTGTCATAACAGGTATGCAGATCAGTAGAGTCAGAGTAAAGTCAGAAATCCTTAGCTGTATACTTGTTCTGAGTCACTGACTAAAAGTATGAGAGTCAGAATGACAAATACTCAATTAGCATTTTCAGAAGTCAATGTGTGTATTATTATTATTATAATTATTATACAGGATTTATATAGCGCCAACAGTTTGCTCAGAGCTTTACAATATAACGGGAGACAATACAGCAACAATACAGTTCAATACAAGAGGGATAGGAGGGCCCTGATCCTGGGAGCTTACAATCTAGGTGTGTAGCGTAATGGCGCCGCTCCAAGATGGAGCTCGATAATCATCTCACTGGTAAGAAGGGGGAGCGGCATCCACAAATGTTTCCAGTCTTGTAAGCATGATGTGAGAAAGGACGCCACTCTATCTGCTCATGATGGCCATCTTTACACAGGACTCCATGAGCGATTAGAGCGGCGTCCTTCCTCACATCATGCTAGCATTTTCAGAAGTCAGCTTAGGCTGCTTTCATATTCTCTGGTTGAGTGTAATGACTAATTAATTTACTCTTATAGAGAATCTGTTGACTACAGTATAGTCAGCCCTGACTCATAGACTAAAATATTCACATTAAAGCAATTCTGTTGCCAATATCAAAGTAATTAAAAAAAAAAATGTTACCTGAAAAAGGGACTGTAAAAACTTTCAGTACCTATCCTGCTGCCTGCACCACTGAACATTGCTCAGGAATCATCTCCTGAAGTCTGCTGCAAAACCGTCACTTCCTGGAGTGTCAAACTCCTTTGTCTCTCGCAGTGCTTGCTGGATCCTACTGTTGAATTCTACATTGCTACTGTAATGGAACCAGTGAGCACTGCAGAGGAAATACAGACCATCAACGCTCCCGGATCTATGGGTTTCTCTAAACACTTTGGGTGACAAGTCTTCTTTTCAGCTAACAGGTTTTTTATAGCAACAGGGTAACTTTAAGCTTATCGCATTTACATACCAAATATAGCTAAAAAAAAGTAAACAGTCCACCGACGAATGGTATACAAAGTTGACAGCACTGATTGTAAACAGATCCCCAGACTGGGTGCACTTATGTACAAAAAGGACGATTGCCCCACTCATATTAGGTATCACCACGCACAACACAGGCACAAAAATAATACTGCTCTATAAACTAACAAAAATTTGAAAAAAAAAAATATATATTTTACTTTCTGCTATAAACATATCTAATAATTTTTTTTTTAAATCTAATTTCTTCATACATTTAGGCCAATATGTATTCTGGTACATATTTTTGGCAAAAAAAAAATCCCAATAAGCATACATTGATTGGTTTGCACAAAAGTTATAGAATCTACAAACTATGGTATATACACTGGAAATTTTTATTTATTTATTTATTTTTATACTTGTACTGGCAGCGATCAGTGACTTATAGTGGGACTGCAATATTGTGGCAGACAATCTCACATTAACTGACACTTTGTGGGAACCAGTGACACTAATACAGCGGTCAGTGATAAAAATATACACTTACTTTATTAACCTCCCTGGTGGTATGATTATTTCAGATTTTTGGTGCTGAAAGTGGTACCATTATTTTGCATGGAAAGTTGGTGTTTTATATTGTAGGCCTGTAATTCTTAGGAATAACTCACTGAAATCTGTCCGCACAACAGTCTATGAAACATCCCGGGTAGGATAAAACTTCAAACACGAAATCATAAATTATAATTTAATAAATAATCATAAAAAATAATAATATAATAATAATAAATTGAATTAAATAATATAATCAAACCAAAAACACTGAAATTTGAAATATAGCGCCAAGTTCGCACATCACTGAGCAAAGTCGCAAAATAGTTTTCAGTGTCTGATGACGAATTTCCCCACAAATCATTATCACTCAATTCTGCAAGTGGTTCTGATTTACTATCGCTGTTCTCTAGCTGGTCTAAAACCGCTTTTGACCTAAAGGGACGCTTTTTGGACGCCATGGACGTTTCTCAGTTTCCAGGCAATAAGAACAGTAAAAAATGCAGGCAGGGCACAGGACAAAGCACTCGGGACAAAATGTATGTGAAATGGTTTGATACAGGAATGTTATACTATGTGATTTTAGTGAATGTCACTTTTGTCATTTTCAAATTTCCTGCCGTTCCGTCCCCCGTATGTCCTGAGGCTCGCAGGAGACGGAACCCAGATGACAGATGCCGACATCCGCCGGATTACATTGCCGGGGACACTGCAGGAGGGATATCGCGGGAGCGCGCAGGACAAGGTAAGTGATCGAGGGATCGCGGAGCAGCGCCGCATGGTATTCCCGATTGTAGCTCGGGGTTACCGCTTGCGGTACTGAAACTTTACCCCGAGCTACACTCGGGAATACCGCCAGGGAGGTTAATGACACAGGCTGGGAAGGAATTAAACATCTAGGGCGATCAAAAGGTTAACTGTGTGCTTAGGCAGTGTTTATATGTGTACTATATTGTGGTTTTGCTAAGGCATGTGCTGGATTTTATTCCCTACTTTGCAGGGAAACAAAATCCAGCACATCGCCGCTGACAAGACACAGCGCAGCCTTGTTTATAT